AGTTCTTGAGCCAATTGAATGCGCTTTTGAATGGAATACAGAGTCGGATAAAAGACACGATTCCTTCCCGTACCAGATCTGATGGCAAACAATACCAGTGATTACAACATGACATTTGGGATATTTAGTAATACAGTATTGAGTTATCAATGAAATGATTATTAGGTACTTGTATTCAAAGTAATGTTCGGCTGAGATCTCATCCCAAATGAGTTTCGGTCTGTATTTATTCAAAATCTCTATATATCTACAAATAAATGACAAATTAAATGAATACATTGCCTAATGTTTGGCGGCCTATAATATATGTTTGACTAATTGACTGAATAATTGAATACATACTGAGAGCCGACGATAGGACCGCCACCGGTGGGCGAGTAGTCATTGCCATAGAAATTGAATCCAACCCATAGTTTTCGCCGAATAGGAGACGTCTGCTTAGGGGTCAGGGTTTTGATACAATCGCGAACCCATTTGAAGGGACTGTTAGGGCCCGGCCTTTAAATAACACATAATTATTAGTGAATCTAATTGCGAGGCAATGAGTACCTCTACCTCTGAGTACTGGAGTAATCATATGTCATAACACTGAAACCCTTGACATAAGGGGCCAGTCGTTCGGCGTCGTCCTTCTGGAAAGTGCCCTTTCGTCCACTGAAAATAAATGCATATATTTTAACATTTCTTAAATATAAACATCAGTTATTAGACTAAACCCGTAGTAAACCGGTGGCGGAACCGCTATTATTAACTCCATCTTATTCTTCTTGAAGTGTGCGTTAAATTTAGTGAAAATAGTCGCCAAATCTCTGCAAATGTTAAGTCATTTCAGTATTTATTTTGTTAAATTGATTGCATATAAAGAACCGCTATTATTAACTCCATCTTATTCTTCTTGAAGTGTGCGTTAAATTTAGTGAAAATAGTCGCCAAATCTCTGCAAATGTTAAGTCATTTCAGTATTTATTTTGTTAAATTGATTGCATATAACATAGAATTGTATTTTTATATTTGAGATAAATTTTGTTTTGAATTTAAATGTACTCTATTTGTATAGAAATAGAAAACTCAAAGTTTTTAAGTGAAAAGAGTGGCAAAGAAATGAAACTCACGGCCGATGCTGTCCTGCAAATGCGTGCCATAACTCAATGACAAAGCCATCAAATTCCCACTTCTGTTAAGGCATTAAAACTTTGTTTTTAAAAAATTCCTTCAATTTAATTCACTTATCATTTATAAATTCTTTAGAAAATTTCAAATATTAATTGAAAATACTACTGGTATCATGAATCCATTAATCAAACTATTATGTTTTTAATTCAAATAAACAATAGAATCTATTTCTACTATAAAATGTTACTTAAAATATAATATAAGAAGTATTTATTAAATAAAAATCAATTTCTAAAAGAAGACTCAGATATATAAAACTAAAAGTCATTATCGATTAAATAAAAATAATTAAAAACCTGATGTAATGAATGTCTAACACGAAAGTCACTGACGGACTCGAAAATTCTCATAACATTGATATACCCGTAATATCTTGTAATAAAAAGTCAATTAAACATATGACACATACTGTTGCAAACTCGCAAAGTTGTCGGCCAATGGCGGGCACTAAATTGGGATGAGTTCCCAAATACATGTACTGTGCGTGAGTCCAGCCCTCAAATATAATTCGCGGCACTTTTAACACAAAAAAATGTCAAATAATTAATTATAATCTAAACATAAAATTGTTTATCAATGACAATGTATACCGATCTTAATGTCAGGGTTGAGCTCTCGGACGGTTTG